GTCTGGCCACCACGTAGAAGGGGGGGTATCTGAGTAGTTTTATTGATGGCATCTGATGTGGCCACATTGATCACCAACCAGGTGACCTTCTGGGGTTGATGTGGATTGTCTAACCCACAGGCTTGACTCCTCATTTGTAGACACTTTAGGGCGAGAGCCAGCATCAGGAGGATTTTGCACTCCATTTTCTGTGAGAGAGAGAGAGAGGAAAAAAAGGCCTTCTCAAGGGCGTTTATCCCATAATTGACATGTTTAACCTTTTGCTTTTGTTGGCTTTTATTAATCACGAAGTTGTGCCATCATAGCATTTTATTGGTCATTCTTTGTCCCGTTCATTGTCCTGTGAGGGAACTATTTAATGTCTCTTGCGGGTACCCAGAGGGGCCTCTTTTCATTTTGAGGGAATACACACCCAAACCCTCTTCCCTCTGTAAGAAGTGGGTCTGGTCCTCTCCTCCAGGCTCCAGTGAGCGGGTCTCTCCATTTGACCAGAATGGAGCTGTAGCTAGTAGATGAGGGCCAATGTTTTTGGAAGGGAGAAAAATACTTGTCTTCTTTGGAAAAATTTAGAATATTTAAGGTAAATAAGGCCTTTTTTAGTTGATCATGTGGGGGCAGGGACTCCCCCTTTTGTTTTAGTAACTGAGTCTTAAGGGTTTGGTTGAATCTTTCAACAATGGCTTGTCCCTGAGGGTTATAAGGAATGCCTGTGGAGTGTCAGATTTTCCATGTTTGAAGGAACTCAAAGAAAGGCTTGCTTACAAAGCATGGGCCATTATCTGTTTTAATTTGATCAGGCAGTCCAAGGGTGGTGAAACATTGGAGTGTGTGACTGATTGCGTGTTTGGCCTTCTCCCTGGTGTATGCTGTTGACCAGCAGGCACGTGAGAAGGAATCAACTGATAGGAAGATATATTTGAGTTTTCCAAAAGGGGCATAGTGAGTGACATCAATTTGCCAGAGGTTGTTAGGCCAAAGGCCTCTGGGGTTGGTACCCGAATTTTGAAGAGGGGGCACCTGAAGGAAAGGTTGGCAAGATCAACAGGTGTGTAAAATTTTCTTTAGGTCTTTGACTGCCACGTGGGGATATTTATGTCTAAGCCCTCTCCAACTGACATGGGTCAACTGATGAAATTGGGTCACCTCAGCGATTGTGTGACCCTGATGTGAAGAGGCCAGTTGATCAGCTATTTTATTTCCCTTTGACAGAAACCCTGGCAAATTTTGGTGGCCTCTAAGATGTTGGAGGAATATTGGATTTATCCTAAGCTTAAGAAGAGTACGGGCCTGAATCATCAGAGGAGATATGGGATTGGAGTCCAACCTAATATGGACCTCCACTAAGTTGGGCAGTAAATTAACCACATACAGGCTATCTGAGAACAGGTTGAAGGGCTCTGATATGGAGTCTAATGCCATGACAACAACAAAGAGCTCTTTAAATTGTGGTGACCCTTCAATCTGGTGAGAGACTGATTTAATGGGTGTAGGAGTTTGTCTCTGCTTTAGGGGAGGATAGATGACCAGAGAGGCTCCTAGACATCCCCCATCAGTAAACACAGTTAGAAACTTAGGGTCAGATTGAGAAAGAAAAAGTCTGGGGGGCTCCCACTCCAACCTTGAGAAGGAGCTTATCCACTTATAAGGACCATAGTGGCAGTCAACCTTGCCAAGAAATCCCTCTAGAGCCAGTGCAATCCTCTCATTGTTTTTTTGAAGCCAGGTAAAATCTGTCAATCTATAGGGAGTGATAATGGAATGGGGCTCAGTACCGAACAACCGGACTGCTATGTCCTTGATAATGCAGTCGGCAGTTTGGTTGGTCATGGAATAAACTTGAGGGGCTCTGCCCATGGATAGATGAATCCATTGTATGGGCTCACTCTCTTGTGCGAGAAGAGCAGTGCACAACGCACTTCCAATGAAAAGATAAAGAGACATTGGGGTGTCTGGACTGAACCTTTTTAAAGTGGCCTCATTTATGGACTGTTGGACTTTGGCTAGAATTTGTTGGCACTGAGGCGGTAAAACCACTCTGGAGGCTAAGTCAAGGCCCCACAAGAGATCAAATAATGGAATTAACTCTTCAGTAGAGATGGGTATCCAGGGCCTCAGCCAATTAATTTTCCCCAGTAATTTTTGGAGTTGGGCTAGATTATAATTGTCCTGAATGGTGAGCTGAGGCTTTATGGGGGAAACAGTGTCCATAGATAAGGTGGTACCTAGTATCTTGAAAGGAGGGATACTCTGAATTTTATTGGGGGCCACCTTAAAGTTGTTTTTCTGAAGAATAGCGAGACAGTCAGAGGTTAGCTTGTGGAGATTGGAGGGCTCGGGGCTTCCCAGAATTACATCATCCATATATATATAGAATAAAACATCTGGCCGCCCCATCAGTGAGGCAAAAATGTGGGCTAGGTAATGTTGGAAAATGGGGGGACTATTGGCTATACTCTGAGGCAGGACGATCCATTCAAATCTTAAATCTGGCCCACGAAAATTGGTTGAGGGTATGGAGAATGCAAATTTTTCTGTATCTTTGGAGTGGAGGGGAATTGAGGAAAAGCAGTCCTCAATATCAATAATAGTTAAGTGGTATGTCTTGGGGATTGCCAGGATCCCTAAAGGCATCATTCTCTCATTAATTTTTCTAAGATCTTGTAATAGTCTCCAGGAGCCGCTGGCTTTTTTAAGAATTCCAGGGGCTTGTTGATGGCCTTACATGCCCCAGATCTAATTATTGCTTGACCAGCTGATAAAGATGTTGAAGCTTATGTGAAGGGAGAGGCCACTGCTCAACCCATACGGGGTCCCCAGGTATCCACACTGAATTTGGATTACTGAGGGGGGAGCAGTGGCCCTTAGGATTGGGGGGGGGAACCAGAGGATAATTTTGTCTGAGGTGTTCAAAATAGGGATCGTCCCTATAATTGGGGTGACTGATCTGTCCCTCCTTAAATTGTTGTTGATACTCTTTGGTGTCCAGAAGGTCGTTATAGAAGGCCTTATGGTCGGTAGTGATGAAGGCCTCAGCCTCGCCCAGAATATCCTGACCTAAAAGGTTGGCAGTTAGGCCAGAGACCACAAGAGGGCACACCTCTCCATGACTCCCATTGGGATCTACCCAGGGTAGCCAGGTGGCAGTTTCCCATGATGTAGACTCCCCACCCACACCCAGTAAGGACGGGCTGGGCACCAACTGCCAAGAGTATGGGACTTCCTCTTTTCTAATCACCGTGCAGTCTGCCCCAGTGTCAATGAGAAATTTGAAGGTCTTGTTTCCTATGGTTAGGGTCATTTTTGGCCACAAGCCAGGGATCAGTGGGACTGTCCAATGAGCCTCAACTGGCTTGTCCCCCTTATTTAACAGGGCTGGGGGTGGCCCAGAGGGGAGTTTAAAGGCTTGCCCTTAAGGTTAAATCTGGATTTGCAATCACGAGCTCAATGAAATCCCTTTTTACATCTAGGGCAGGGTGTGCGTGGGCCTCCCCCTCCCCCAGAGGGACCAGGGGGTCTCTTGGACTTGTTTGGACACTCCTGCCAGAGTGGCCTTCCTGGCCACACCCAAAGCAGGTCCGCTTACCAGACACTTTGGTCTGTTGTAGGACATTGATAAGGGTTTGAAGCTCCTCCTGACGGCTAGCCTGAAGCGCAGCCGCCATTGCCCTCGTGTGATAAGACGTGGACCCAACATCTCAGGTAGGTATGATCCATTTGTCCATGGCCTGGTTTCGTAGCCCAGCTCAAGCTATCTTATGATCAGTGGTCATGCAGTCCCAAACCAGTGATTGGACAAACCAGTCGCACAACTCCCCTGAAGGGAACTTTCTCTGCAGGCTCTTCTGAACTCTATCTATAAAGGAGGGGAGGTCCTCCGATGCCTTTTGAGTAATCCCAGATATGGGTGATTCAGTAGGTCCTTCGTCTAGCTTTCTTCAGGCAGCTAGACCTATGGCCTGGACCTGGTCCTGATAGGGAGGAGCAATGGCCGCCTGCTGGGCCCCAGTGGCGAACTGATCAGCAGTGCCAGAGAGCATGCCAAAGGTAATAGGTATGGGGGGCTGGGCACTCTGATTGTTCTCTTTGCAAATGTGGCACTCCTCATTGAAATAGGCTAGCCATTTAAGGAACATTGGGCCTGGGAGTATGGCTTTGGCTAATTCTTTCCAGTCCTGTGGCTCACATGCCTCATGGGCCAGCCCCTCCAGAATAGCCTCTGCCCAGGGAGAGTTGGGCCTGTCTTCTGCAGCAGCCTTCTTTAGGTCTTTAAGGTCCTGAGCCTGCCAAGGGTACCAGGCAGCAGGGCGATTGCCCCCTGGATTAACATTGACAGGATAAAGGCTGGTTGTCCCACCCTTGGTTGCAACATTCCTCCGGTAGGGGGGAGGGGCAGAGGGATCCTGGAACGGGTTGGTCTGAGATTCTGCCTGAGTGGGGCCCTTGCAGAGCCAAGGGGCACTCCCAAAAGAATCGAGGGAGGGGTAGAGGGGCTCAGGATGGTCCAGTGGATCTGTATGGCTTGGGGGCCTAGGATCCGGCTTTGGGCTTGGTGGCATCTCTGGGACCGGGTCAACAGCCTTGGCTGGCACCGGGGTCTCCGCAGCTTTTGATTTCAGAGGGTGAAGGGGGAAGCTGTCTTTTAAGGCTGACACTGTGGGGAGTGCTCCCAGAGGAGGGATCTCCCCTTTTTCTACCTGGGCCCATCTGATCAACTTTTCAACTCTATCCCAAGTATCCCAATCAAAGAGATTGCTCTCCGGAAGCCAGGGTGCGATCTTTAGCAAGCATCCCCATGCCTGGAGAGCATGGCTGTCTGAGAGGCCAAGGCCCCTGCTTTTCAGCAGGACCCTGAGGGAATCTAAAGAGGGGTCAGGCTTAGAACTGGACTTCCCCATAATTTATGGGGGTACACTCACCCGCAGACCAATTGGCCCGTCAGCAAACTTCGTGATAGGCAGCTCCTCACACGGGGCACCAATCTGTCGGGAGCTCTGACAGGTATGGCACAAGGGGAGAGGCCAGGACCAGCCTGGGTTCCTCTCTTGGGGGCTGAGCAGGTTGGTGAGTGTTGGCGACTCAAAAACCACACTAAGTTGGGAGTCTTGTCAAGGCAGGAACTCACTTTATTGTGTCAGGCATCAACTTATATAGTTTAAGCAAAAGGGGTGTGGAAAAAGGGGTGGGTATAGGAATGTGTCATCTGGGGCGAAGACCGTGGGCCACTGGGAATTTATTACACCAGTTGTTACTGGGCAGAGGCAATCTTCTTAGATAGGGCACTGCTGAGTCACCTCCACACAGAAGTGACAGGCCAGAGACAGGTCGCTAAACTTTAGCCTGGCTTGGGAAATTATATTAGGCCTCATTTTCCTCCATGCCATGTGTATGAGGGTCCCAAAGGCCCAACAGATGTGTGGCCCTCATAAGCCTTGTCATGAGAATACTGTTTAGCTTGTGGAGTAATTATACTGCAATTTATAGTTTGGGAACTTCATTCAAATAACAGTGTGAGACTTAACAATGCTTTTACCTGATCTTTAAATTTACTTTTATTTTATGTGTATGAGCCTTTTCCGTGCTTGTATATAAGTGCACCACATGATTGTGATGCCTGTGGAGGTCAGAAGGGGGTGTCATATCCCCTGGATTTATGGATGGTTGTTAGCCACCATGTGGGTGCTGGGAACTGAACCAGGTTCCTCTGTGAGAGCATCCAGTGCTCTCAACTGCTGAGAGCACTCATCTCTCCAGCTGTTGTGCTTTTGTATTTATAAAAAAGAAAGGAAAAATTGTTGTTCCTAGAAAAATTCACTTATTACAATGGTTCCTGAAATCGTCAGTCTTCCCTCTTTCTGGTCTTCTATGAAAAAGAGAGGTGAGGGAGGGGAGGGAGGGAGGGAAAGGAGAGATGGGAGGGAGGGAGAGGAGGGAGGGAAGGAGGGAAGGGAGAGGAGGAGGGGAGAGAGAGAGAGAGAGGGAGGAGAGGGAGGGAGAGGAGAGAGGGGAGGGGAGGAGGAGAGAATTATTAGAGAGCAATTATTAACCACTGAAATTTTGTTCATACTGGAAAATTAGTTAAGTAGCAAGAAGTATTGAAGGTCTATCTTATAGTGAATTGTGACATATAAGGGTCTTGTCTTTGAGTTTAAAAAAAGTATTAAAATTCCTCAAAAGAAATGCCAAAACTTCCTGGTTGGTGACATAAACTGATTATTATCAATTTTTAATTTTCAGAAGCATCAACAGTAGGAATTTTTATCTTTAAGTTAAAAATGAAAGAAATAAAACAATACTGACCTGCTTTGTTTAGATTGTTGGAACTAGAGTTTCCAGATGCTGTGGAACTCTTGTTAGCTGTGTGGTACTTTCAGAAAGCAGAATTCTGAGTAACATCTCAGGCTTCTTAAGTATTTGCATAGCCATTTTGACTTTCATTCTTTGCTCATTATAAATATTTTGCATGTAGAAGAGAAGACAAATCTGGCATTCTATGCCCAACAAAAAAGCCATCTTCTGTCCATTTTTTCCCCAAGAGGACAGATTCAGATACCACATCGATAGCCATGTCACAGTCATTTTACCAAGAAATGCCCCTCAGCTTCTGCCACATCACCAGCACTCAGAACGGTGGAATAACCTTATTATCCATGGGACCACTGACTTCTAAATCTACCTTAATGAACCGTTCCCTAGCAGGCATCAGCGTGGGAAAGCAAAGTATGTACCATAGATTATTTTTAAAGCCACCTAGCCTGACTGACAGTTTATCATTTGTCCCCAGTAATGCCCATTTCTCTGTGTTGCATGGAGGGGAGGGGTGAGAGTCCATTATGGAGGGAGGAATGAGAGTCCATCATGGAGGAAAACCAAACATAGTGACTCCTTTGCAAGGTGAGAGGTGAATTGTGATGCTGTTTCTTGAGTTACTGCAGATGCTGCTTGTGTGGATGTATACCTGCAGTTGCAGGGGATCCAATGCCTTCTTTGGACCTCTGTAGGCATTGCACAACACGTGCACTTACACACATGCAGGCAACACTCATACACATAAAATAAAAATAAGAAATGTTCAATTTCTTAGGGGAGGCTACCAGCGAAGGTGCTGTACGTTACCCCTCCCTAAAGGGATGGTAGGACTTAGCACTCACTTGGCTGGGGGTAAGCTTGTTCAGTTCTTGTATTGAAATCCCTGGAGGAATCCTCTTTAGTAACTGTGAGCTGCTGGTACAGTGAATTAGCTTTTGCTTTCTGTGGCCAAGTTCCTGGGTTCAACCTCTGCACCAAAAGTAAAATAGTGTGATTTTAGTCTCTTCCATCTTTCACATCGTGTGATGGCTAATCTTGCTTGTCAACTTGACATAGCTAGGAAGAGGGAACCCCAGCTGTGGAATTTTCCCCATCAGATTGGCCTGTGGGCATGTCTGTGGGGCATTTCCTTGATTGCTAATTGATGTGAGAGGTCCCAGCCCACTGTAGGGTGGTAGCAACTCTGGGCAGATGGGCTTGGGTTATATAGAAAAGGTGGCTGAACATGTACTTGGTCCTGCCTTGAGCTCCTGCTTGGTCTCCCCTCATGATGAATATTGTATGGGTAAAAGCATAAGATGAAATTAGCCCTATTCTCTCCAATGTTTTATCACAGCAACAGAAACCACACTAGAACACCTCACTGTTGTTTTATTCGATATAAGAATCTAAAGCAAAATCCATATTTTCTTTAACCTTTGATGATTCTGGGTCTAGGGTCACATTAAAGAAAATCCTCCTCCTATAATGATAGCTATCATTTTCTGAGTGGCAGCTAAATACTAGACACCTGATTTGCCTCCAGTCCCTCTGACCCCTTACACAAGTCAGGAGTCCTTACTACCATGTTCAGGAAAACTGACGCCTGGAAATCCGTCACTTGGTAAGTGGTAGAGCTGGGATTTGATTGCAGATCTGTCCAAATCCTAGACACGTTTCTCTGGCTGTCTCACTAATGGGGTTTTCCATCTTTGATGACACATTTCTAGATTTGTCCAGCATTGTTTTCTAAGAATATTATGAGACATGTCTTATATTGAAATCTTAGGAGCGGGAATTTCAAAAAAGCAATCTATTATGTGCACACTAGGACCTGATCAATCACTATCTTTGTAATAAAGTGTGTGTTTTGGCTCACAGAAGTCTAAATCTTTATCTGGTAAAATGCACTAACCATTTGTATAAAAGGACTCAACTGAGGCTTTAATTTATATAATGATTGTAATTTGTGCAGTATAACAAATCTCATAAAATAAGGCTTTATTAGTAAATATAATACTCAAATTTGACAGGATCAAATATGTATCCACTAACAAACTGATGATGTTTCTAAGAAAGCACAGTAAATAGTCAGTTAAACATCCATTATGCTCCTGGTAAGGACTCTAGCTAGAAATGTGAATTTCCTATAGACACTGGAGAAAAAACAGCAATACAGTCCATACAAACATCATGATACAACTGAGCATTTAATACAGTTGAAAAAACCTGTAGGAAGTGAGTGTGTCCCTGGAAATATCCATTTGCTGACTGTCTTATAGAATTTCCTTTACCATTTGATTTCTCATTTGTCATGGAGTCTGGCAGGGCAGTAAGATCTGTAAAGAAGTAAGGTTCTGTCCATGCAGGGGACAGAGATGATGGCCGAGGATTCTTTTGGTGTTTAATTATTTACATCTGTCACATTTGCTTGTCAAATTTCTTTGAAAGGCCCGAGCTCCTTGCTTCCAAAGAAACAGCGGCTACTGGGCCTTGATTTGGAGACATTAATCTGGGGGGATGGAGAAGATTATTTCCTTTCTTTGTTTGGAGATTCGAACAAACTTCCTGTGCATTCATCCCACATGGAGGAAGATGAAAGCAGACACCTCTCTGTGATTCTTGAAGAAGTTGGCTAGTTTACAACCAGGTACACATTCTGTTTGAATAGTTGACCATTTTCTGCTGAGGTGAAACCATAGGTCAGTAGGAAATAGCACTCTGGACTGTTATTGGATCCATGTATTTATCAAAAACACTAAGAAATTTCCCAAAATACAACTGTCCGTGTTCTGAGCAAATAGAAGCAACTGATTCAACTTAGTGGGGAACCGAATAAGGAATGCAAATTCTTCCAAGACTTGAGAGAAAACAGAGCTGCACATTCCATACAGATTGTCAGCTCAATTACTCAGGGGCCTTTTGTTGTTAGGGAATCATCCAGACGGCCCTATTTTATTTTCTTCTATGAGCCTTTTGAGTTAAAGACAAGAGAAAAATGAATTTTTGCTCAGGGATCCATCTTTGTGTTTGTCAGTGTCCACAAAAAAGAATCAATCAAGAAGAAAGTTGGTGTTAGGACAGAAAGAAGACAGCTGGCTTAGCTGGCTGTTTTCCTAACCTGACCACACTTACTGTAAAAAAAGCTGATAATAAAGGCAGGTTGACCCAGGGTGTTCGAGATCTGGAGGAAGCAGGTAGACAGAGTTGATTGTCCAGTTCTCCTAGGCATGTTTCCTAAAACCAATCACTCAGGCCAATTAATCAATAAAGGAGAATATCTAAGTGTTTTCTCAATTCCCTGAAACCCCTCTCTCAAAATCAGTACCTACCATACTAAGTGACTAAGAAAAAAGTGTATAAAACCTTTTGAATACTTCTGAATCCAATTGCAGTGTGTGTGTGTGTGTCTGTGTGTCTGTGTGTCTGTGTGTGTACAGATGCACAGGCCTGTGTGTGTATATGGAGGACAAAGGTCAACAATCTACCTTATTTCTTGAGACAGGGTCTCATTGGCCTGGAACTCAGGCAGGCTAGGCTGGGTGGACAGTGAGCCAGAGAGATCTGCATGTCTCTCCTTCCCAGTTCTTGGATTATAGATGGGAACCATCACATCTCGCTTTTTTACATGGCTTCTAAGGGGTCAAATTTGGATCCTCAGGTTTGCATCAATCTCTTTACTGATGGAGCATCTGCCAGATCTGTGACTGCTCTGGGGAGATTTGGTCAGGGTGTACCTTAATGTAACATCAGATTTCTTATGCTCATGGTGATTAAGGATAACCTTTTGATCATGCTGTGTTCAAAATCCCCCTTTCAAGGGGCTGTGATTACACAGATATCAGGGCCACCTGAAGTTGTGCTACAGCTCTCTAACACTGCTATTTTACTTCTTGAAGTACCTTTTTCTTGGTATATTCTCTTTGTATAGTATGTTTACTGTGTTTTCAGTCTCTGCTTTCACTCCCGGTGCTTGTTAATCCTGTCCTTGTAGTGTTCTTTCAGCATCCACATGCTGGTTTAATCTTCCTTTAACTCTTGTCAACAAACAAATATTGTTCCAATTTTTCCTTTTCTTCTTTTCCTATTTGTGTCAAGTCCAGGTCAGTTCTTTTTTTATTTTTCTTCTAATTGAAAATTATAGTTTCTGTATTCTGGGTGTGCCAAAAATTGTGAATAAATTTTACAGTGTTTCAGAGCTGTAATTTCATTTTATATTCCTGTGAAATTCATAACATTTCTCCTGGGATACACTTGAATTCATTGGAAATAGTCTGAGCCTCCATCTAATGTTTTTTAGGTGGAAGCAATGTGTAGTCTAGGACCCGCATTTCAAAGTCCTATTGAGCACACACTCCCTATATCCAAGCCCTACTGAGTACACCCCAATATCCAAGGCCTACTGAGCACACACCCATTACCAAGTCCTACTGAGCACACCCCCTATATTTAAGCCCTACTGAGAACACCACCATATCCAAGTCCTACTGAGCACACGCCCTCTATCCAAGCCCTACTGAGCACATCCCCATATCCAAGCCCTACTGAGCACATCCCCTATCCAAGCCCTACTGAGCACATCCTCATATCCAAGTCCTACTGAGCACACTGTCATATCGAAATACTACTGAGCACACCCCCTATATCTAAGCCATACTGAGTACTCCCCCATATCTAAGTCCTACTGAGTACACCCCCTATATCTAAGCACTACTGAGAACACCCTGTATATCCAAGCACTACTGAGCATACCCCCATATCTGAGTCCTACTGAGCATAGCCCCACATCCCAGCCCTACTGAGCACAACCCTGTATCCATGGCCTACTAAGCACACCCCCATATCCAAGTCCTATGGAACACAGCCCCATATCCAAGCCCTACTGAGCACACCACCATTTCCAAGTCCTACTGAGCACAACCCCTATATCCAGGTCCTACTGAGCACACCCCTCATGTCCAAGTCCTACCGAGCACACCCCCTATATCTAAGCCCAACTGAGCACACCCCCATATCCAAGCCCTAATGAGCACATCCCCATATCCAAGCCATACTTAGCACATTCCCATATCCAAGCCCTACTGAGCCCACCCTCATATCTAAGTCCTACTGAGCACACCCCCATATCCAGTGCCTACTGAGCATACCCCAGTATGCAAGCCCTACTTAGCATGCCCCCATATCCAAGCAAAACTGAGCTCTCCCCCATATCCAAACCCTACTGAGCATACCCCCTATTGAAGCCCTACTGAACACACCCCAGTATCCAAGCCCTACTTAGCACACCCCCATATCCAAGCCCTACCCGGGCTTCTTGATGCCTCGGGAGTGGTCAGACAGTATTAAGAAGGCCTCCTTTCGTCCCATCCTCCATCTCTACTCCTTGTTTGTTTTCTGTTGCTGTGATAAAACACTGACCAAAAGCAACTTTGGATGAAAGGATTGATTATGCTTATACGTGTAGTCCATGACTGAGGGACGTCAGGACAGGAACTCAGGGTGTTGAAAGCTGGAACCAAGGGGGACCATCTTCTTCCTGGCTCACCCACAGGCTTACACTTAGCTGGCTTTCTTCTAGAGCACAGGACCATCTGCCCAGGGGCTAGTGCTGCCCACAGTATGCAACACTGGGTATTAGTTAAGAATGAAGACCATCCCCCACGGACATAGCCACAGTGTGGTCTGGTTGAGGCTATCCCTCAGTTGAGGCTTTCCCCTCAGATGACTCCAGGCTGTGTCAAGTTGACAATTCAAGCTAGCAACAACAATTCCCAAGCAGTTTCTGCATTGTGAGGTCTAGAGTTAGAATTGTATTAAGCTTTAGACTGATGTGGGTCTCGCACAATGGCCCATGAATAATAAGCACATGAATATCTTCCTCTAAAATGAACAGCAAGCTCCTCTGAGGAGTCGGATTCAGACTGAGCCCATTGTTTCTTCCCGTGGATGAATTGGAACCTGGTGGCAGAGGGGGGAGAATTCACCTCCCTACCACATTCAGGATCGCTCACTAAGCCTTTTAGGAATGAAGGCTTTTCTCTGTGGCATGAATGTTCTAAACAAGTTCCCTAAGTCTTGCACAGTCCTAAAGACCTGAGTCTGGATGCTACTTTCCTTTTTCACCAGACTGTACTGTCCCCATTACCCCAATTACAAATACAGATACCAGTTTATGTAGAGAATGCTATATGCAGGTTGGAGAGATTGAAATCCTAAAGACAGTGACAGAAAACCTCAGCATAACAGGACCTTGGAAGCATCTGGTCAGCATGACACCATCAAGGAGAAGCCAGCAGCCACATAGATCAGTGCTTACATAACCAGCAACCACATAGATCAGTGCTTACATAACCAGCAACCACATAGATTAGTGCTTACATAAGGGAATGTGATTTTTCTAGTGCATAGCTTGGTGTCTGCCAGTGTGTGGCAAGGCTACAGACAAGATGATTGGCACATCAGGCCATACTCTAAGCCAATCACAAATCAGAAGCAGAAGTCTCAAGACACTTTTGTACAGGTAATGCCAAGGCTTGCGGGGAAGAGGAACGATAACTACTGCGGCCTTTGTGGCAGCTGGTTAACAGCTGCCTCTGGATTTCTACAGATTGTGTGAAGTGTTTTTCCTATAGCCTTTGGTCTCATATCAAACACCAGGCAAGCAAAGTCCCCTGATACTGGGAATGTCTTATTTCCTTCCAGACAAGCAAAATTTTCATATTACGCTAAGATTTTTGAGCAGCAGCTACAAATATTCACTTAATGGAATGATAACAACTACAAATACTTAATGTAATGATAACACACACAGGTCTGTGCTCTCCCAGTCTTCACCTGTGTGAAAACAAAAGTCAGAGTCTTACTGTGGGAAAAGAAAGAAAATCTGAAAAGCAAAACATGTTTTCTATAAAAAAATTACAAATGGGCTGGAGAGACAGCTCAGTGTTTAAGAGCATTAACTACTCTTGCAGAGGACACATGTTCAGTTCCGAGCACCTACATGGTGGATCACAACTGCCTGTAACTCCAATTCCAAGAGTTCTGATGCCTTCTGACCTCCACGGGCTCCCGCATGCCTATGATACACATAACGTCATGTAGGTAAACATACATACATACACATAAAATAAATCTTTAAAAAATTACGTAGAGAAAATGTAAAGATCCTACAGAGAATTCAGTAACAGCGAGCTGAGGACGATGATGTAGACTCCCAGGGATTTGGAAGAAAAGATGTTACATCGACAGCTTAATTAGAGCCATAATAACACACAAAAGAGAAGAAATGGTCATGTACATCCAGGAGCAAATCTCTCTGAAGCAGTCGCTCCCACACGCTGGTGTGTGTGACATGAGACCACTGTTTTGAAGGGAACTTGGTGCTGAAAGCAAGAGCATCCACAAGCTTGTCCTTGGTTCTCACGCTGCCCCCCGGAGGACCTGGTACCTACAGACCCAGTTCAGTCCTGGGAGACACTCAAAGCAGCTGCCAGTTTGAAATTAGTAGCTCAGAAGCTGAGCAGTTAGAGATTTGGGGAGAATCATACAATAAAAAATAGCATTTGGAGCCAGGCATGGTGTCCCACGGCTTTAATCCCAGCACTGGGGAGCCAGAGATAGGCAGATCTTTGTGAGTTCCAGGCCAGCCTGGTCTACATAGTGAGTTCTAGGACAGCTGGGGCTACACAGAGACCCTATCTCTAAAAGACAGGAAAAAAAAAGCATTTGGGATGTGACAAGGAGGGCCACCCTCTGGTTTGCAGTTAGAACTTCAGAGTAGCGAAGTAAGACTATGTTCAAAGTAGACCTGCCTAGTGTCAAACCACTTCAAACTCCGTTTCAAGCATAGTGATGTGAGCTTTTCTCTTTCAACTTATATGTCTAACAGTAGCAGAAAATATATTCTCTCTTGACTGGTAAAACACTATACAACACCTTAAATGATCTTTTCAGGTTTTCATTAATATTAGAAACTAAATCACCACAACATGCACAGCAACAAATAAACACAACAAATGAAAGTTGACCAAACAAAGGTCAAAAATGGATACCAGAAACAAGCTTAGGAGATGCCATATTGTGGGTTTCTTAGAAGGATTTCTAATACTCATTGAATAAATTACAGGAAGAATTTTTTGACAAATTAAGAATTTTAGCCCAGATTGGCACACTAGAAGTAAAAGAATCAAAAGCAAAAAAGTTCAAAGCAAACAAGTGAGGGTCACGAGGCTTGGCAGCCAGCCAGGGCGCCATCTTGGCCGGCTTGACCGCGCCCGCTTCCCACAGTCTCTGCATCAAATAAGTCATTCTGCCTTCTCCACTCATCTCAAAACAGCTAACACAGGACTGAACAAAGAAGGGAGTTAGGCAGCAAAATCACACAGTATGATGCAGTGTACACTGAAATTGTTTGTCATAGGCCCGGGACAGATGGCTGGACCAACACAACAGTGGAAAGCCTCTCAATACTCAGAGCCTTGTTGCCTAGCAGGAAAGCATTAAAAATCCGTGGGTTAGATTTTGGGAGGTGTCACAAACATAACTAAGAAAGTTAGCTCTCTCTCATACATGCACAGCCCCTTCTTTATTTTTCAAAATTATCTTATTTTGATATTTGAATATTTGAAGTATGTAATTGCTAATATTTTTCCAGTGCTTTCTAAGTAATATTTTTAGAGAATTTCATGCAAACAATGCATTTGAGCATATATTGACCCCATTTACCCCCTACTCTTCATGAACCCCCATATCTGTGCACCTCCCAATTTCACATCCTCTGTTTTCTTTTTCACATAGCAATGAGTCCACCTGGTGCCACTCCTATGTGAATGGCTGTGCGTGTGACTGGAGCATGGACAACCTACCAGTGATCAAATCCCCTAAAGAAAAGTGGCTTCCCCTCCTCCAGCAACTGTTGGCTGCCAATAGCGCCTCATAGGAATGGGACCACTGGAGGCCTTCCCCATCCATGCTGGAACTTTGACCTTAGTTAGTATAGTTCAACTTAGAAGGTTTTCAACTCTACAATGGTGCAACACACAGTTAACAGAAAGTGCCCTTGGAATTTTGACCTTTTCCTGGCCAGCAGTGGGCTTGCTGTGTGCCCAGTGGTGCAAGGTGCAGCTTCATGCAGCCCTGCTACTGTGGAGGCAAACAGTGAGCTCTACAGGGTGGTGTGGGGTTCAGTAGGGTGGAGGTCTGCTGGATGTGTTTTTAGTTTACATTTCCAACTTACAAGGGACTGTTGGGGGTAAGCCCATCAGAAGTTGAGGTTCTGTGGATACAGACAGATAGGTAGGTAGATAGATAAATGATTGATAGATAATAGACAATGGAACAGAGAGATGGTAGATGACTGATACATGACAGAGGTAGAAAAAGATAGATGACAGGTATGTAGATGATAGATAGATAGATGATGATAGTTAGATGATAGGTAAATGATAGATGGTGGAAAATAGATGACAAAATACACAAATTAAGGATGTGAAAACCAAATTTTTGAAACACTTAGAGGAAAATGTGACAAAAGTAGAGAACTAGTTTTTATCTAGGACACAAAAAGCAGCACACGATTAGGGGAGCCCTGTTTGCAATCATAGTAGCTGAGTGAAGCAACAGATGGAGACCTGGGGAGCAAAGGAAAGGGACTTGGGGAATTTTACAGATTATGTAATGCTTAGAATCCATAACAAAGGTGAGGTTTAGAGGAATAGAAAATAAATCAAGCATAGAATAATATGCAAATCAACAATTGTAAATCACCTCATCTTGGTTTAGGGTAGATTTTTGCTGAAATTATTCTTTTAAAATTTGTATTTTAGAAGTCAGAGAGATGGTTCAGATAGGTAAAACATTTCCTATGCAAACACGAGGACTAAAGTTCTGATCCCTAGAAACCGCGTAAAAGCTGATTAGACATGGCAGCTGCCTGTAATCCCAGTGAGATCCCCAGGACCAGCCAGCCTGCTGGACTAGATGAATTCACAAGCTCTGGGTTTAGCAAGAGACCCTGCCTTGACATACAAGGTGGACAGGGACAGAGGAAGGTAGCCAGCATCAACCCCAGGGTGACACACATGCACTCATCAGCACCTTGCACCTCACACATGTGTGCACCCACACACATGTGAATGCACGAACACATACACAAATGCCATATACACATACATAGACATGAAAACATTTTTAGTTTTCCTGAATTTTGTTTGAGTTTGGAGCTATAGTAAGAAATTATAAAGGAACAGAGCTAAGGAGCAATAGAGGGATGCAAATGTGTTTTGTCAAGAGTTGATACATAAGCACCATGGGTTATTGTTATTGGTCAAGATACATTACATTTTTATGATGCTATTCCTAACACCACAGTGGTTTCATGACCTCCTAGTGGGTTGCACATAACACTCATGAAAAAAGCAGACATGTGAATGAATAACCCTGAAACAGACTATGTTCTCAACATAAACTAGAAGTAAAACTCCACCGTTGGTAGGCATGGATAGTGTCACGTCAAAATTCTTTTAAATTCACAGTGGTTATTGATCCTCACGTCACTTTGCTGGAAATGAAGTATGTGGTTTAACTTTTTCCTGATCTCCTTTTAAAATCTATTTCATTTTATGTGTCTGTGTGTGTCTGCATGCACACACATGTGTGCCTGATGCCCACAGAAGCCAGAAGAGGGTGTCAGATCCCCTAGAACGGGAATTATGGGTGGTTGTGAGCCAACCGATGTAGGTGCTGGGAACTGAACCCAAGTCCTCTTCAGGAGCAGTCAGCACTCAATGACTGAGTCATCTCTTCAGCCTCTTGATTGCCATTTGCCTGTTTCATGTCACAATGGTTTATATTGGATAGTGGGAAACTGAGAAAATCCCAATCATATCATTTTCCCATGACACCCTGACACCTAAGCACATTTCAGGTTTTCTTTGTTTTATGTGAAATGGTGAGGTTCTGATAAAGATCGGAACTGAGGTCTAGGCATGTTTGTTAGTTTTAACATACATGATTTGTAGACCATGTCCACGAGAGTACATAGCTTAACATTTATTATTCAAGGTTTTGCTTTTAATTTCTCTTTTGAGACAGTCTGTGTAGCCCTGGCTAGCTTGGAACGTGCCACAGACACTAGGGTGACTTGAACTTGCCCTTCTCCTGCCTCTGTACCCCAAGTGCTGAGATTACAGGCATGCATCACATTACGTTTTTAATGTGAGCCCAGACATTTCTATCCAGATCACCTAACCTTCTATACCTTTTGTTTTCTAGATCTCTTGGAGATATTAAAATAGCTGAGATGAATATCAAGGGATTATTTGTGAGACTTGTTAACTCGTCCACTGACAAAGAAATGGAGATTGGAGATCACATTCTCCTGCAGAATGTGGGTGGACATCCAGTTTCCTCGTACCGTTTCCTCCCCAACATCACAATGCAGACCAATTCCATGGTGAAGGTGAGTATGATCTGGAAACACCATGAGCTGAGAAGAGGGTGACATGGAAATATTTTGAGCTGGAATACCAGGAAGGAGCTGTGAATACCAGGAGATGGGAATAGCGTGGGCTGGGAATACTGTGAACTAGGAATATCATGAGCCAAGAGTACCATGAGTTGGGAATACCTTGGGCTGTGAGCATCATGGGCTGACAATAAGGTAAGTAGGGAATACCAGGAGCTGTGAATACCTTGAGCTATGACCACATTGAGCTGTAAAATACCTTGAGTTTTGAATACTTGAGCTCTGAATACCTTGAGCTGGGAACACCTTGGCCTGGGAATGCCTTGGCTGTGAATGCTTTAGGCTGTGAATGCCTTAGGGCTGGGAATGCCTTGAGCTGGGAATATCTTGAGTTGGGAAAACCAGGATATGGAAATACCATGAGCTGGAAATATCATGAACTAGGAATATCATGAGCCAGGAGTACCGTGAGTTGGGAATACCTTGGGCTGCAAGCATCGTGGGGTGACAATAAGGTGAGTTGGGACTACCAGGAGCTGTAAATACAGGACCTGGGAATACCAAAAATCTCAATATAACTTCACTAGGAACATTGGGAGCCAAGATTAAGGTGAGTTCGAAAGAACACAGTGGGCTGAGCATGTGGTGAATTGAAAATCCCTAATGTGAGCTGTGATAACCAGAAGGTGGGAATGCTGTGAGCTGGGAATACTAGGAACTGGTGACACCTTGAGCTGAGAATA